TTTTTTTGTTTTTAACAACAAGAAGAAGAGAATACGCCTTTTTTGTTTGTTAGTTACTTTGAATAAGCGAAACTTGTAGAAACTCAGCCGATAAACGATGAGAACAGTAAAACCCGATAACCGATAAACTAACTATGCAATGGAATACAATAAACACAGTAATTGGTTTCATCGGCATTAAATAACAAGCAATAACTATAATTAAATAATCAACAGCAACAACAAAGAACAAACAAATAAAAAACTCCCCATAACTAAATATGTTTGAGTGCCAAGCTAATAATTCGAGACATCTGTAAATAAATAATAAAAAATAAAAAATAAAAAACACACAGAAATATATACCAAAATTCGTGTGTATATATGCTCTTGTGAGCTAGTTCCTTGAACTAGATCACATACACACACGCACACACTCACACACAGACAGAGCAATGTATATAGCCGACTTGTAAACTTGACTATGAAAACTTTGACCGTAGAAAATTTTAATAGTATTTCGTTTGGCGTTTTACAACACTGAAGGCGAAATGCTAATGATAATAGCAATGACTCCGACTCGGAATGTAAATAAGAAGAACATATACATATTCTAAATAGTTAGCACGAGTCTAGCAACCAACAACAACAACTGACAGCATACATAGAACCAATTTTTGAATGCCTACATAAAAACAACTATACATAGCCAACTAAATAAACTATCTCACACACACACATACACACTTTTTGATACGCTAAGTCGAATGAAATAAGTTGAACAAGCTTAGATTGCTGTTAGATCAGGCATCATATATAAAGAGTGCATATACAGCTACTATAAACACACACACACACACATACAGTTTCATACACCAATACACTTTTAGGCTGAACCGAAAGCAGAAGAAGAAACAAAATTGAGTTGTTAATATTACTAGAAGAGGAAAAAAAAAAACAACAAATAAAGCTTTTAAGCTTATTTTAAGATAACGAATGAAGGATTCGACAATTTTTTGGTAAAATATTAAAAACAGAGAAACCGTATCTGTAAGTCAAGCAAAGAGATAAACTTCAAAAATGAAAATGGAAAATGAAAAATGAAAAAAAAAAAAAAAAACACTGTAGTGCCTACTCCCCTTTAAAAAAAACAAAAAATAATAATAAACATATAAATATATATACAATATATATGTATATATG